ACATCACAACTCGATAAACGGAACAGTTTCTGTGATTCACTTGCATCTTGACTCGCTAAACGGGCCCTACCTTCTACAAGCTGTTTTTGAGGTATCAGTATGAGCAACTGCTTTGTCCTCTAAATGTTGAACTAAAATTGAACGTTGACATATGGGGAATAAACGGTTTGATCACTGGTATTACAAGAAATTATTTGAGACCAGCCTTAGCCCAATCCGTAAGACAAAAGTGGTTGAGAGATTTAGAGAAATTGCTGGATTATTGCAGCCATTAAAGAAAAGCACAAATTTTCTCCAAAACTTTCTTTTTCGCCGTAAATCGGTCCAATTGACCATTCTTAGCCTCTAACGAGCAAACTTTCGCTCGATGAAGGAATTCATACATTTTTGGTTAATTTCTTTGTCTCACTAATATACATTGTTCTTGTCTTTGCAGAGATTAAGAGTGAAGAATTGAATGTGAGACTGAAACAGATCACTATTCTTAACGTATAAAATATCAGACTATTGATAAACAAACACGTAAATTGGCACATGAGCTGCATCAAACAGGTTAACAAATTGCATTGAACGCTCTCTTTGGCTTAAAATAAAACTTTCAAGTTAAATATTTGAAAATAATATTACATTAGTTATATGCATGGTCCACTGCAGTAGCCTCTTTTCTAAGTGGTGATATTTTAATCGACAGGCAAGAAATTTAGAGTAATCTTTCAAATGACTTAAGTCGTTTAAGATGATCTGTTCAGTATAGCTAGAAATGCTATAAAACAGATTACAGATTATTGACTAATTAGTAATTTTGTTCTTCATTGGAGCTGGAGACAACGCAAACAACTTGGAAAACTTTGCCAACAGTTGAAAAAAGCCTCCGAAATGCCGAAGTCTATGGAAATTGTGCAGTTATTTCCTATCCAGAAATGATTCTTATAACGTTCGCAAACAGTTAATAAGATCCAAACACCAGCCTCGCAAATTTCAATAATTTTTAAGTGAAAAAATATATATGTGCGGTAAAACTCAGCGCCACAAAAAGTAATCAGCTGATTTACGAGAACTACATGAACGACATAAACTTTTGTAAGGCCCCGCTCACAATACGACAAAGGAGTTTGAAAAAGGAGGTTTTACTCGGAAAACGCATCAAATGTCTTCCGTCCACACTTCGCCGGAGGAATTTAAAAACACAACAATCATCTGTCATTTTGCATTTGTGAATGAGGGAAATTCGGGCAGGGGAATCAAAATGTTTTCCGTCTACACGAAAACGAAAAGCGGTTTTCGAAAAGCTCCGCTTTCATGATGGATTAGTGTAGACCGTAGGCCTAACTGTAGAAATAAAGCTGCGTTTTCAAATTTCTCCGGCGCAGTGTGGACGCTGCCTCGTGCCTAAAGCTACTGATGCATCCGGGAAATAACGCTTGCAAGGAAAAAAGCCTGGTTGCAAGGGGGCGGGGCCCCCTCAGTGACAAAAATCTAATTTCTCCTTACAATTTCTACACATCACCAAGCAGTCAGGCAATGAGAATAAAACAAACCATCAGTAAATGCTCAGGATCAAGAGGGCAATAATCAGGGGAGAACTAAATCACCTTATATTTCCATGGATTATCAAATCATTTTTGCTGGCGCAGTCAAAAAGAAACTTCCAGTAGCTTTTTATTGACCATTTTCGTATATTTTGGGTGATCTCTGTTTAAACGTGTGCCCTTATTTTGATAATTGCCTCTTAATTCATTTGACGGCTATTAGTTTGTAATGGCCAATCGCAGAACGCTTTTCCATTTAATTTGTGATTTCACGAGCGCCTGGATTTGATCGGATTGAATAGATTCTTCGTTAATCCGGATAAACGAAACACGCTTTTCAATTTCCTAGTCAGGGAGTCCACCAATTTGTAACCGCAAAAATTTACCTAGAACGCGCTCCGGGACTAGA